CATTAAAAATTAGTTAATGATTCGAGCATATTATTTAATCATCATAGACAGTTTTATCCAAGTACAACTTATGGAAAATAAACATTCACTACTATTCTATTTGTTGAAATTTTCGTTTACAGTAATACATACAAAAATCATTAAAGATAATCTGTTTCTTTTAATTATCCTTGATTTAGATCTGTTCACATTCACTTTTACATTTAATATGGATCAATTGTTCAAAATATAATATTGAAATTAGAGTTTTTCCAAAGCTAAGTAAGAATTAATACGTGTTTTTATAAAAATAATATGGATTGGATATTGGATTTACATTACAAAAATTTAATTTAACATAAATAAATACTTTACATAAGTATTTTTTAACAAAGCTACTCAACAAATTAGATACTTCTGAATATAATTCAGTGTAAACATTGTTTATAAAGATATAGAGTAAATATTAATATAATTATCTAATAATTTATAAAAATTAATAATACGTAAATGTTATTCTTTGAAAAAGTACTTTGAGGTTTTATAAATATTTTATATATTATTAGCAAATTAAGATTCGTAATAAATGCAACTTGTGGCAGTAGCATAAATTGACTTGTTTAATACTATTAAAAGCTTTAAGCAAGATTAATTAAATAGATTTTATAAATTATATAAATATTAACAAAAAATATCATTAGCTTTGTGCTTTTTATATATTACATAATTTTATAATGTGTTTATTAAAATGTGGCTATGTCTAAGGTAATTAATGTAGATTCGTTTCAGTAAATTAGAAACCATAAATTCTTATTATATCATAAAAAGAAAAGCTGTTTGCTTGAATAGTAGTGAATAAACATTTTTATTTACATGATTTTTATTTGAAAATATTAATTATTATTAACATATATAATAGAATTACAGTTTATTATTAAGTGTAAGTGAAATGTAATTATATTGAAAAAATTAGTTCATATACACATCGTAATATTATTACATTTTATATTTTTGTTATATACCCATTATAAATAATTGAATATAATTTTTATTCTTGAAAATATACTTTCTCGTACTGTATTAAATGTCCTTTAATTTATTAATACGTTCATTTTATATATTATTTATGTAATTTTGAATTGTCTATATGTTACGAAACCCTTATAAAGTAATTTTATTTTATTATAAATAGACAAAAAATTAAGATATCTTCATTTCGTTATTATTTTTATTTATTTGTATGTGTGTTTCTCTGACGGTGCTTTGAAAATAGATAATATCGCATGTTCATTATTACCACTGTACTTTACTTTAAGCTATCTACGTTAAATCAAAAGAGTCATTAAAATAGTGTGCGTAAAAGATGAGGTAATAAAAGAGTATTAAAATGTATAAAAATTGATAATCGCTATTTATAATGTCCACTTCATGATTCTTATCTTTCTTTGTATTCGACTTTAGCACACTCATCGATCTTGTTTTATTAGTTCAATTAAATTGCTACATTTTCAGCATAATATGAAGGAATAAAATGCTTAAGCAATAGATAGAGTTAGAGAGAGAGAGAGAGAGAGAGAGAGAGAGAGAGAGAGAGAGAGAGAGAGAGGGAGGGAGAGAGATACAACAAGATTTTATTGTACATATGCTGAATCGACAGTGGCAGTAGCAGCTTTTATATTGCGTTCACTGACTAGAGCTTTGAAAAGGGAACTTTTCACGAGTCGCTCAACGCATACTGGCTACGATGATAAATCGACCGCTCGAGAGAAAAGCGTGCCATTCTCTAATTCTCTCTGTCTCTCTTCGTTTTGAATTGAAAAGTGGAACGTAAGCCTGAAAACTAAAAGCAGCGCGAGCATCAGATCACGGAAATGCCCAGCTACTACTCAGGAACATATAAAACATACACCGAGAAACGCAAACCTTTTACAGCAAGAGCATGATTGTGTGTATACATATACTATAAGGAAGACAAAAGAGTATTTTTCAGTCCAAGATTCATCAAGATATTAATGCTTGGCTTTTATCATTAAATTTAGAATAGAAGAGATGTCATTTATTTTTATTCATCATTCATACGCAAATTATTACATAAATTTACATACATAAACTTATACATAAATGATATTGAATAATATGGACAAAAATTGGGTAATAATGTTGTGTTCACTGTTGTGCACTTTGTGAGAAAAAAAAACATGGAGATAAAACTTAAGATATCTATAAAGAAAAAGGTTTAGGTGCATCATTGTCATAAGTACAGTAGTACGTCAAAGTTAACAAAGTGTTGAAATGAAGAAAAAGAAAAATACTTACTTCTCGCATCCTATGCACTAGTCAAATAGAAAATAGTAAAAATAAAGGAAAATACTACAGTTTAAAAGTTACATAGAAATAAGATTGAAGCATCATAAATATGCTATTACATGAATTGCACAAGAACGAAGTTACACTGCAATTACTGATAATGAAAATAATTATTCTAATCTACGTTTAAATTTCTATTTAATTTTTGTAATGATTTCATTAATTTCATAAATTTATATTATGTAAAATTACGTTTATAGAAATTATTTTTTTTTAATATGTATTATTAATTAACAGATGTATTCATTATTTCAAATTTAATAAATTTTAATAAGTTTCTATTTTTATTTTTATTTTTTTCCATATATACATTTTTTTTTAGATTCAACCTTTATTATTTTATCAATATAAGTACCAATTTTGTCAACATATTTTTTATCAAAAAAATCTTTATGCGTGCGTGTACATATGCGTATATATAACGTGATAGTAAACTACAATGCTCTGAACTAAAATAATATTTCACTTACGTATGATCGAAATTTAAAAAAAATTATACTTAATGATATGATTGTATAATGTTTGTATAATTGTCTGAAACATAAGTACAGACAAATTTAAGAAGAAGAAAAAAATACATAATACGCATGTAAGATGATTTAATACGATATGAAATTAAGTACAACTTTAAGTTAAATTTGAATTAATGTAATCTTATTGTAAAAGAACTGTTATTTCTTTCAATATTTATAAAATTTTAGTTTTAATTTCTGACAATGTTGTTACGTTCTATATAATCAACTGAGATAATTTATACGCATAGGAATATAAACATACATACTCGGTTTAGTTTACATATTAAGGTCTTTTGTTTTAGAATAAATTATATTCTCTCTCATTCCTTAAATAATTATGTAAAAAATAAGTTCCTACAATATAAAATCCTATTAATTTTGTAAGTTTCTGAATAAAAATTTTTAACGCAAAGAATAGTTAAACAAATTTTGAATTATATTTTAAATGGATGTGGTAATATTCTTTTTAGTTTTATTCTAAAAGTATTTTTGTTGGAGTATACATTAAAAAAAAAAAAATGTTCTACACACAACTGCATATTGTTATTTTAAAACTTTGTTATATTAAATATTTGAAGTACCGGATTTATTTATTGTATCTTTCTTAAAAAAAAGGTATGTACATATAAAAATAAATTTGTAGAGCCATTTTATGATATTGAAATCTTTCTGTAGTATTTTTAAACTTGGGTAATAAAAATTAAAATTATATATCTGCAACATTACATATTAAAAATATAATAGTCATAAATAAGTAATTGTTGGGATTACAAATAATATTGCTTTAAAATCTTTTTAATATATATTAAAATTATTATAGATTATTTAACTAATTTTTTTAGACATAAGTTGTAATAAATAATTATATAATGCTTAGAAGAACTTTAGTAATTCAGATTTATAAAGCTCTTAAACGTGTTAAAATATTTAAATTAATTCATAGAAAGAATTATGGCTTTGGTATTACTTTTTATTCTAATCATCAACTTTAAATAAACTTGACTACTCCTCATATCGATAGTGAGCTTTATAGTTGTACTTACCATTTATATTATATGTACTATTCATTGCTCCCTTGTATCCTCTTATTTTTGTAATTTGCAAACGTATCTAGGCACGGGGATGCTCGTTATATTGAAGATACGTACCATTTGATATTGTCTACCGAGCATTCTATTTATAAATAACACATACAAATGTTATAAGAATACTAATCAATGAGCATAGTCCGTTCAGCTTTTGATATGTTTTTGTTTAGTTCTCTTTACATTTATTTCTGCTTTTTTAAATACATATCAACGTATTTTTAATATAATAGCACTATTACTTTTTACAACACTATGGCATAATAATTTGTAGCGTTAATAAAAGTTGGGTGGATTTTTATTATATTGTCGGTTGGAGATTAAAATGTGTATTTAGGAGTAAAAAGGTAAATATTTAATATAAAAATGATATATGCATATATGTATAATATAATATATTGATAAGTTGATATTTACAGCAATAATTATTGTTCTCCATACCGGTATTTACAAATTCCTGATAATTATATTAAATAATAAATAAGACATAGAGATAGTATTTGTAATTAATTACACGTTGAATAACAATATAGCATTAATTTTCTTTTAATCAGTCATATTCGATGGTAAATAAGATCACAATAAAAAAAAAAAAAAAAAAAAAAAAAAAAAAAAAAAAAAAAAAATGAAGCATCAATTGCGAATAAATCATATTTTTACTTAATTAAATCTACATATTATTTTTGAATAATTTTTTATGAAACATTGAGATATTGAATAATTTATTATTATGTAGTTTAGTTACTTCTAACAGACAACATGTGAAGTAAATTTAAATTGTATAAAACGATACCATGAAGCAAAGTATGAAAAATTAATTACCGCATCGAATTATTATTTATTATTAAATTTTTAAAAAAGCGAATAACTTGATGAAAAATCTTGCGTTTATTAGATATACAATTAATTTCAAGTCTGATGTCTATGACCAATAGGATTCGACGTAACTGTGAAAAAACTCTAAGAAAAGGTAAACATTGTGCCTTATTTACCTTTTAAAGTTAAGCGGCCAATATAAGCTCACAAATGCAGGAAAAGCAAGCGAATCATTTACCTGAAATCTCAGATCCTTGCTTCACCTCATCCTCTCTCGGATTTCTCTACAGAAGCTCCATGCAGCTCAATGTGAATTAATTCTCCGATCTCTGGAATCAGCGTGACATCCCTCGTCCTCGTTCCGTTCTCGTTGTTTTCATCTTAATCCTTTTTCCTTTCCTCCCTATCCTTTCTCTCGTCCCTTTTCTCCTTATACTAATTCCGAGATAATTCTATTTTCATGTCCGCGGCCATATTATTCGCGTGATTTTTCCCTCGATATCTCTTTTCAGCCTCCCTTGACACCTGTCCTTGTTGTCGAGAAACGACAGATTATATATAGGCAAAGTATTAGTTAAATTACCGTCGCGAGGGATACGAGATCGAATTATGTCGGGCGAAGAGGCGATGAGAGCTCGCTCGTTTGTTTAGTAAGAGGAATTTGACTGACAGGAATCAAGTTTGTCCGTATTTGATCTTCACTAACGGAAGCTATTTAACGCTTCCTCTTTCTCACCCACTGCGATGTCTTTTCTGATTAACTCGCCGGCGTCACGATAAACCAATTGAATACTCTACTTAAGATGAACAAATAGCGTGTATTTTTTTTCTATTGTAATATTATTGACTTTGGAAAATTATAAATAGCTGAATTTCATTTTTCATGAACACCATACGCTTTATTTAATGTTTCACAACTGTGCGTGTAAGCCTTTGGAAGTTAGTTAGTTATTAATTTTCAAAGTGAATTGTATCGTGGGAAGAAGTCAATTAAGAAATAATTATTATAAGAGGTAAGGAATATCGACTCTCATCGTTATTTTTACACTCAGCAGCTATCCTATTAAAAAGGAAGCTCAATGTAATATTAAATGAGAATGTTAAAACGGTTACAAGTTTTATCAAGCTTAATACAATTTGGATTACCTTGTTAGAGAACGAATTTTAATGGTAATTGGGTTACTCTTGTTTGGAGATAATGTGCCGCCACTTTAGCACGGTTATTGATATAAGATTCTATTTATAAATAACGTAATTTACAATGATAACGAAGGATGCGCGAGCAATATTAGCAACGCCTGGCCTCGTCGATGTACCGGAAAATCGTGAACTCAGATGCCCAGCCCCCGAGTGAACTTGAGACCTGGACAATTGTATCATCGAGCTCGATCGACTCCAGGCACTTGCATGCCGAAACTCGGGCGCGATCGCACGAGGAGGCAACGCCGTGGGCGGGGGTGGCTTCGATACCGGGTCGAAGGGGACGTAGACGGACGTAAACGAGCGATGATGCCACCGCGGCGAGCGCGTTACTAGCATTCGCCATCCGGCGAGAGTTGGTGAGTGCGGCTTCTCTCGCTCTCTCTCTCTCTCTCTCTCTCTCTCTCTCGTGGTCTCTCTCGTGGTCTCTCTCGCTCTCTGGACCAGCCGCCGCCGACGCTGACGCCGACGCCGACGCCGACGCTTTGCACGCAACCCCTCAAGGGGCGACAAAGCTGCCGAAGCGGGAGAGCAAGGGCTCATCTTGTCGGGGTCGAAGGAAGCTGCGAGGGTGCGAAGGAGAGGTCCACGTGTGTGCGGAGTAGGAGAGTCGGTGTATTGATCCGCTCTCGCCGACTGCGGCCTCGTGCTTTTGGACACACTCACAATGACGCCCCTTCACAGGAATACGCGCGCGCGCACATCCGCGTACAACTCTTCAGGTACTTCACAGGAAGATTGGCGAAATTTTGGGCTGCTTTGCTGCCCGCTTCTTATTTCTTTTTCTTAGTTATTTCTCTGTCTTTCTCTCTCTCTCTCTCTCTCTCTCTCTCTCTCTTTTGTTATTGGAAATTTTCCGGATTGCTAGATTTTAACTGAACCTTGGATTCGTCTGAATTGTGCCTTTCAATTTGTTACTGACTCTTGTACCGAGATAAATAGACATTCATTGGATGAAAAATAAGTAATTAAATTTTTTATTTAATTTAATTTTATCTTTTAGTCACTGATATATATCCAAATTTGCTGAGAACTGCAAGTCTTGTGCTAGAGTCGATTAGCCGAAGTCTGTCCAAAATCGTATTACTTACATAATTTTAAATATAGAAAAATTGGTTTTATTCATAGTATAATCGTTAACCAGGAGTGTTTTATCATAAGTTATATATTAAAAACAAAATCTATAGTGATACAAAATTATTTTTCATAATTATTATTTTCAAAGAAATTATTTATAATACTTTCTTGACCATTTATTTCATAATAATAGTGCTAATACGATCGACCATTGGCAATATGTGGTTTGGGAGGAGGGGGGGGGAGAATGAGGGTAAATGGATGCATGTGTAAATTTATGTATTATGTAAGGAACTCAAATTTATTTATTTAATTTTAAACTATTTTCTATTTTAAAAAAATTTACATATACTTTCTGCATCTTGCTACATAATTTGTTTATACATAATAATAATAATAATAAACAAAATAATAATAATAATAATAATAACAATAATATATTCATTATTTGCAGGAATATTTATTTTCCTAATTTAATAAATATACTGAAATAAAAAGTAGGACGTATAATAAGAGTTTTTTTATCATTTTTTGCCTTGTAGAACTTTTATCTTAAGAAAACTTTGCAGATACATTCATGTAAAGCTTCCATCTATATGATATAGAATAATTTTTTTTTCTTTAATGATAATAGCCAATGTTTATACTTGATTTGAAGCAGCATTTTATGAAATGGATTTCAAAAAAGTTTTCGGCATGTTTACATTCGGTTTCTCTTTGCTTGTCGTTAATTTTATAAGTTAAGTCGAATGATTGTGAAATTCGATTTTATACTTTACAAAAATAATTCATTACTTTTATATAAATCATTTATAAAAACAATTTATTTATACAATTACAAAACTCCTTTTTGAATAAATATTATAATGAATTTTTGTATTAAGTTTTATGAACGCATTTGAAACGAAATAAGAATATATTTTATAATAATGAAATAAGATTGCAATTTAGAATTTTATTTCTATAATATATTTCAAGATATTGATTAATTAAAGATCATTTTTAAAAATACAAAATTTATATAATAATCATAAATTTTATTTCATTTGTCATTTTTAGTATTACTATTATCTGTAAAATATATTATTTTTTTTAAAAAATATGGAAAATTATAATTCCTACAATGTTATTTCTTATTTTTTATCTTTGTAATTTAATTTTTAACGTTTCTAACCTTTATGTACAATTAATATCATTTTTTGGCTGTTTTCATACTTTTCTTTCATTACGCATTAATTTTATAAATTTTCATCGGCATTCTTATCAAATTTTTCTTGATGTTCTGTATGAACTTTTAAGATTGTTCAGCTATCCTTTTGCTTTTCATATGATTTTGTATTTACTTTATTATTACATTACTACTTCTTGAAATTACTTTCGAGCACGTCGATTCACCTTTAAACTAGTATATTATTTAATTTTTACAATAATGCTTATTTAATTATCTAGGAATGGCATTAAGCTATTTTAAATACTAGTAAACATATTTATATGTCTTATAATATATAAATAATATAATAATATAATAGAAGTAAAATAGAATTTTAATTTATATCAAACTATGGTTTATGTATGACTGCCAAGTAAAATTATATCAATACTTGCCAACGCATATTTAATCTATCAAATATAAGCAACGTAGACAACAGTAACTTACAATAATAGTAAAAGCTAATAATAGTAGCTAGGTTTCTCAATTCCATAATATCCATAAAAACGCGAAATTCGGCAAAATACATTTTCATTCTATATAATCGAGAAAGTAGAGATGCATAATAACTTAACACGACGAAGGAATGCAAGAACCACATAAGAAGAACGGAAAATTCTTTTCCTTCCGCACGCCAATTCGCCCCCACGCATCGCTGGACTCCTATTTCGTTTTCTTTGGGAACGTTGAAAAATCTGGCCATTCAACCTATCTCTCGTTCTTATTCCATTGCACGCACTGGATACCGTCTTTTCGTATATTTCGTCCTTCCGATGCACTTTCTTTGCTGGTTGACTTCTTTGGCTTTGAGCCAGCCGAACAGGATTACCGACATGCCACTTTTTATGCTCGTGCTAGGCTTTCCTCTTGTTATACGTATGTGGAGAAAGAATAGTCATGAATATGGGGAACAAAACAGAGAAGCACGAATGCACGATTGAGTTTCCCTTCGGATTAGTAGCCGCAACGTCCCGCTAAGACTTGCATAATCCGCTCACCTCCAAGGATATTCCCTTCTTGTTCTTATCACTTTACACAAACTTTACTTTTCCCCCATTAAATTTATGGGTTGGATCAGCAGGTTTGAAGTATTTATGTAAAGTACATACGCACTAGAAGACTCTGCACTTGCGTAATGATGCTTACAATAAATACATTATTAATTGCTAATTTTTTAAGCGCGCACTCAAATACGTACACATACACTTTGGTAAAATAAAAAAACAATATATATACGTATAAACTATATATGTTTGTAATATATCATGTTTATAAAAGTAATTGAATTGTTATCATTTATATAAAATATTTAATATTTAATATATGTTTAATTATATTAATTAATTATATGTTAAATAATATTTTATGATAATAATTTAGATAGTAATTAAGTAGGTAATATAATATTTTTAGAGATGAACAAAAATGTAAGATTGAACTTGTCGTACTTTCATATTCGAAAATACATAAAATATACTTTGTATTATGTTATATATGCATTCATTTTTAGAAAAATTGAAATACCAAATTATTTTATTTTCATATAATTATGTAGTTTGCACAAAAATATTAAAGTAACATTAAATATTCAGTTAAAATTAAAATTTTTTGTTCATAACAGTAACCTAAAAAATGAACATTTTAAACGATAAATCTCTGAAAATTTATTAAAATTTAATATATATGTTTAATCTAACACTTTAAGTAATTTTAAGTTAAAAATAATTTAAAATTAATTGTAAGTTGTTATTTTAATGTATGAAATATTAATCACCCAACAAGATATGTTATATTACTGCGAAATCTATATTTGTTATTTAATATTAAAGCTTCGTTGTAACTCTTTCAAATAACTATTTTTAATATAACTATAATATATTATTTCAAATAACATTTATCATAAAATTCATTGCATTTTCTTTAGTCACGTAATTTCTGAAATTATTTCATAACTAAAAAATATCTTTGATTAATATATAATTATTTTATAT